ACACGTTATTGAATTAGATTGCATGTTCAATTCCGAATTGATTATTTTTACACAGTATTCTAATTTTTGTTGCCTTTGAGTTTCTATTTGAATTGTTAATTTTGTTGAGAAATTATGATACGGAGTAGATGATATTGTATCTTTGTTGAAACGAATCGTTTGGTCTGATTGTTAAGTATTTATACCGATCGATCAAAAAATTCGATCCGACGTCATTGTCTGATTGTAGTTGTTGATCTTATACATGATCATTGTTTGAGTTGGTTGAGACAACTTATTCTGATAATAATACATTTTGCTGGTTTTTCTTCTATAGGTGACAACTTGCAAACATGAGTATCACCTGCATTGCATACTTGAATGGTATTTTCACCTTTCCATATATGGAATTGGAGTGTTGTATTGTTTAGGTTGATATTGCTTAACATTGTAATCATCATGTGGCTTTCATGTTTCTAGGTCTCAGAGGAGTAAAGAATGCCCGATTTGCTGGCAGGATCTTGCCTTGAAGGACTCAGCAAGGTAGATGATTGATTTTTCATTTGAGGCTTTGACATTCCCGCCATTCCCGGTCTATTCATGTTTGTGACTTTAACTTGTTTGTGTCAATAGCCAAGAGCTTCTAGCTGCTGCTGGGATTGAAAGGAATGCTAGGGCAAGGCGGTTATCGAATAATAGAACGGATTATTCTCATCAGTATCAAGAGTCAGATTCTGCATATGTGAGTAATAAGCTCCAGCTCTTCAGTTTTTCAGACATCTGGCATTTGCTATCCTGAAATAACTTATCTGACAGAATGTATTCTTTCAGGGGTCACATTGGACCGATGACTCTGATTTCAATGAGCGTATGATGCAGCATTTGGCTGCTATGATGAGCCGTGCTCGGCAAGCCCATAGAACTGGGAGGCAGAGATCTTCTGAACGAAGTCCTTCTCCAGATTTTATGTTTGCATCTCGTCTAAGTGAATCAACTTTACATCCAAATAGTCCTGATGAGTGTAGTTCTGCTTATGGTTCACCCGGCAGCAGTTCACCCATTGCTAGTAGCTCCCAGCGCCCTATATCAGCAAACCCATCATCTGTCAATTTTGCAGGCTCTGCTCCAAGGAGAGTTCCTCACCAGCCTTCTAGGTACTGCCTGCAATTGGATTTCATATTTGAAATGGTGTCTGTTACCTGATTTACATGCATGACCTGGATAAAATTATTGAGAAAACTCAGTTCTTATTTATTTTCCCGTATATGGGATTAGACCAGCGTTCTTATTCATTCAAGTGATTACTTTCTCATTGGTTGAGTTCAATTTCCAATTCTCAGACCCCCTCAAAGCCAATCACCCGAGTGTACTCAAAGACCAAAATCATCTGAGCTACTTGCCTTTTCAGAGTCAATTAAATCCAAATTTTCTGCAGCCTCAGCCAGGTAAACATTTGGGATCTAGCATTACATTTTATTTATTTATCTATTTCATATTATTTATTTTTGTCGTTTGAGCTCAATCTTTGCTTTCAGGTACAAAGATTCAATTTCAAAAGGTACCCAAGGTTTTAGGGAAAAGCTTCTTGCTCGTAATAGTTCTGTTAAAGAACTTAGTAAAGGAGTTCAAAGAGAGATGACCTCTAGCATAGCTGGTGTTGCACGAATGATTGACCGTCTAGACCTCAAATCCAAACGGAACACACAATCTGGTGAAGCTCTTAGTCATGGTGGGGAGACCTCGAACTTTTTTTCTAAGGGAAAAGGGGTGTTAGATCATATTATAGCAAGTTCTCGGGAGAATCATGTGGATACAGGAGATTTAAGTTTGCATGAAAAATCCCAGGCCACAAGGCCTATCTCAAGCCATAAAGATGTTTCCTACACAGAGGTTTGTTATTTTCATTCCAAAATTTACATTAGTATAGCTCGTGATTTTATATTGCAGCTTCCAGATTGTGTATTGTGATTATAGAATAACTATTTATCATTCGCAATCCTCTAAAAGCTATAGTTCGTTTCAGGATTTTCCAAAATCAAGCATAATGCCTGTTCAGTTGAAGTAATCTTAAATTGTATATACTCACTTAACTAGAGGAAAAGTTTTCTGATATGCACACAAAGTAGGAGGCAAATATTTTCCTTCTCTAGAGTGTAATAAATCAAACTTTAATCGTTGAAACAATCAGCAGGAAACATTTGTGTTGTTCTGCTCTGAATTCAGTTAAATGATAGATACATGCTAAATTGAAAGAAATGCTTAGTACATTGACTGAAACAAGTTTTTCATCCCTAATTGTACATTTATTGAAACATCCTTTACTAGATTGTAACAAGCAACTCTATATTATCTTGCATGTTGCTCTGTTTTAATAATATAATTGTTCGCGTATGTTCAAGCATCTACATGATGAATGAGGGGTGAGACTGTGAGAATAGGATCAACTAGAAATCAATTTCAGATTTAAATCTGTAGAAGATGATTATGTATTTATAGGGCCTTCTAATTCCAGTAGAGTTAATAGCATTTATGATTTTATTGAGGTTGCTTAAAAGATTGCCTGGATCAATTGATGTTAAATTTTACTTGCATGCACTTATCATGTTGTCTTAGTATGCATTATATTTAGGCTTTAAAAACACGTGTCAGGTCTGCAAATTTGTATGCTACTCATGGCAAACATTTTTGTTGTTAAATGAAGGGTGAAGAAGCAAAGATAGCTTTCTAACATAAAATGGCAAGAAGAGATGCGTGTTTTAATTTTCGCTTGCTATAAAGTCTATTAGGATTCTCCTGGTGATGGTTAATAGTATCTTTTTTTTTATTTTTTGTTTTTTTGGGAACAATTGGTTATAGTATGATAGTATCTAAGTTAAGCTCTTGCACCTATGAAGGATACCAGTGGTTGAAAATGCCCTATATATGACTGGTTATGAATAAAGGGCATAACTTGGGTTTACATTCATATTTACATTTATAACTAATTTTAACAATATGATATATGAGTAGGGAAGCAGTAAGGCTGTGAGGGCCAATTTTTTTATTCTCAGGTTGAGTTATAGGAAGGTTTTTGTTTAGTCTGCAATAAGCCATTTATCAATAAATCTGACGTGCATAATTGCACCCCTGAAACTTGATTTTTCTGATAATCACAAAACCCTCTTATGTGCCGTTGTAGGAAGTAAAAGCCACACATAATTAGTAGTATGACTGTATGAGTATAAATGTCTTATTGTATGCTTTTTGTTTAGTAATAGCAATTTCAATAATTGCGGGGAGAAGATTGTGTCTTACTCTCTTCATCTCATTCTATAGGTACGTTGCTAGGCTTTGTTGTTTTAATAATCTATGCCTGTATGGCTAATTTATCCTTTTATTTTTCCTGTCGTCACAGATTTTTGAATAATTGAAGCTTCTTTGTATAGCAAACTTTATCTATTATTCTTTTAACCATACACTGCCATAAAATATAAAATGAGTCGACATGTGTGTGTGTAACCCCCACTTTTTGTTTGTCATTGTAAATTTAGTCTTGTTACCCACAGAACCATTTTGTTTTATGAAGACATTCATTAGGATGACCATTTTGTTTTCTGTATGATCTATTTTTTATGTGAACGTCACATATTCTGATTTGACTTTGTTTCAAGATTAAAAGAAACTTGTACATGTAGTGCAAAGACGGCTATCGTGGTATTTAATTTGCTGAAACTGGCATGACTGCTGATTGTAATGATCTGAGGCAATCTTTTACGTAGTTTTTAAATTACGAACTCAGTGATTTCTGTGCTCTGCAGAGAGGTAATTGATGCTGTTGGAGCATGGTTCTACCGGATGCATTGAGGTGCAGCTAACAAATACTCGGCTTTCAGAGATATTGTATACCATTGCAAGAGACGTCTATCAAGGAGGCCAATCTACTCTTGTTGGTTCCTGCGTCCTGCAGGTGGTAATTTATTTTTGTTTCCATAGAATTGCCTTTTTTTGTCAGTTGTGCTCTAGCTGATAAGTATATATGTCTAAAATTGTTGGAATTTTTATTTTGACTTGTAACTGTGTTTCATATTATGATGACTGCTGTTGTAACAATTAAGTAATGATTGTCCACTCTTTCAAAAATTATACATCGCACTCAATATATATTACACAGTCCGAAGCCATGCTTCTAGTATTTCTTTTGGCGTAATCTCTTTTACTCATTTACCCCATGCTTGATCTGCAATTTCGTTGTACATGTGGACGGCCTGTAGAATGCCATCAAGAAATTATGTGAATTGCTTGGTCATAAAAAAATTACTTCTATGATTTATTACTAATGCGAATACTAGCTAATGTGGTAAGTAATTTTAGGTGAATTGCTGGCCTTTGCTGCTATGAATATCTCCTACCTGAAATTGATTTAGCTATCTCTATATTTAGGTCTTAACCTGAAAGTAGTTACATTTTTTTCTCCATCTATCAGTGGTTTAGTATTCAAATTCATCCAGGACGATGGCCAAAAAAGTATATTTACTATTAAAGGCTTTGTTAAATACAAGTAATATAAACATAAGATCATATTGTTACATAACTTTGTTGTTTAATCTTTTTTTTTTTTTTTTTTTGACGGGAACTTTGTTGTTTAATCTTAGCAATGTACATGTAATGTATTTAAGTGTTTAGAGGAAAGGAGAGTCATGCGGACTGTGGAGTAAGGGTAACAATGATTATATTGAAGGAAGAAATTTATTGTGCTTATCCAAGTATTTATTTTTATTTTATTTAAATTTTTTAAAAGAAAAAATACTCAAATGATTTTACTTGGTGTATGTCAAATTTTGTCATAAACTTTAAACATTTTTTGTTGTCTAATTAACACTTACAAATCTACAATTCACTAGCTACTATTATATATATATTGTGTTTGCCCAAATAAATAAATAAATATAAAAGGTAACTTAATAAAGTTCCCCATTTTATTTAATTAATATATATTAAGGTAGTTCATGGACTATGCATAATACATAGATGTACTGCATACATTGAAACTTTAAAAGCATGTTTTATAAGGATAACAATTACACATACAAGGCCAAAGTAAACACAAAACACATAGACGAAGCAGCCACCTTCTGTGTCGAATAGATAACAATAAGCACCTTGAATCAGTAAGCTAGCCACATTCACAACGAACCATATCTTAATAGGCATCTTCTTTATTAGCAATTTAGCATGCATAGATTTATTTTATGTTTGATCATAGGCGTACCCCTCTCGTGTTCACGTACCTGGATCATCCATTAATGACCTCTCCACCTGAAACATCAACTAGTTAGGGGGCTGTACGAGTTTTATATTTATAGATATTGGACGACCATAATTTCAAAAGCACGGACAATGATGCTATTAACAAGCACAACATGCATACCATTCGGATGGAGGACTTGGCCTGTGAAATAGGATGAACACTCGTTGCTTGCAAGAAATACATAAGATGGAGCATGATGTGGATCAAGAGGGAGATTCTTTTGAAGAGCCAATCATATTGGTTTTAAGGCCAATAGGGTTCGAGCTTGGAGCAAAGAATCAAGAATGGTTAACATGCGCAGCCATTGAAGAAGAAGTCAAGGACCAGTTGGGTTCCGACGACAACAGCGGTGGCGACGCGCCGATCTGGGTGCCACGCGCCGGCTTCCTAGCTCCGGCCTGAGTCCAGCTACACGGTGGTGGGGCGCGTGTCGAGGATGGAGGCGCGTGAGGTGGTAGTTCGGCGGCAGTACAAAAAGAAAGATTTTCTTTACTTAGTTTTTTTCTAGAGTTTTGCTTGCAAGTTTTTACCTTTCACTTGAAAGGGTTTTTCTTGGTTTAAGCAATTAGGATAAGTTTATTTTTCTGTCATTTAGTTGCTATAAACTTCATAAGGTGATTAGGAAAGTTTTTAGTTAGTTAGAGTTTGATTAGGAATAAACTACCTAGCAATCTTATCTTTGATAGGATTGAAATTCTATCTTATGTAGGATTATTAGAATCCTATCTAGGTTAGATCTTCTACTTCTAGGAGGACTAGGAGACCTCTTTTGAGGCTTTTAAAAGCTTATTTTCGTGGCTTTGAAGAACATATCAAAACCAGAAAATTTAATACAAGTTTATTGTTTGTTTTGCTTAATTGCTTACAAATTCTTTTGCTAGTTTTCAATTCAAGGAGTTGGTTGAAGATTAGAACATTAAACACTTAGTGTCTAGGAGTAGGCTAAGAGTTTAATCTCAAAATAATTAGCGTCCAGGAGTGGGTTAATTAATTTGGGGATTCGAATCATAAGTTTCAGGAGTGATCTTGTGAGGAGAAATATCGGTTCGTTTTTATTCAATCTTAAAGAAATCCTTCAAGATTGGATCGTTACTTCAAGATTGTGGATTTTCTAAAATCTTGACTAAACAAGGGGTTAGAATCCACATCAAATTGGTATCAGAGCTTGTGTGATACCACATCAAATTGGTATCAGATTTCAGGGGTTTTTGATCGTTCAACACTTCGTTCATCAAATCGCACTTGTTCTCGGATAACCAGTTTTTCTGTCAACTTCAGAAGGCTCGTTCTCCTTCGTTACAAAGTCTTTTCAGGTGATTCTTTTTTTGATTTTGGGTGAAATTTTGTCTACTTTCTGCCTGTGAAATTTCGGAATTTTTCGAGTTCGTGTGCTATTAAACTGGACTGTTTTCCGCAACTGTGTCAGTTTTGGTCCGATTTAATACTTACTGCTCTTTGTGTGCGATTTTCTTCCAAGTTGTGTTGCGATTTTTGAGGGTTATTCCTGTGTGTTTTGGGGTCTTTTAAGTCTGTTTTTGTCTTATAATTATGGAGGAAGCTTTGAGCAAATCTATGGATGAATTTGCAAAGTTACTTCAAGGTCATAAAAAGAAGAAAAAACATGAAGATGATAACGTAGATTTTGGCTTTGGTAACAAACATATGCTTATGGAGCGACTGAATTTACATGAAGAAATTATTTTTCAAGGTCAACAAGATAGTTTGTTTCATACTCGATGCAAAGTTGATGATAGAACTTGTAGGGTGATCATTGATAGTGGTTCGTGTACCAATGTAGCGTCTACAGAGATGGTTACTAAACTCCAACTTCCTACAAGAGATCATGAAAAACCATATAAGTTGGGTTGGCTAGATAATTCTATGGGTTTTCATGTAGAACAACAAGCTTTGGTGAATTTCTCCATTCGCAATTACAAGGAAGAGTTATGGTGTGATATTATTCCTATGAGTGCTTGTCACCTTCTTTTAGGGAGACCATGGCAATTTGATCGACATGTTAAACATGATGGTGTGGCCAACACATATTCGGTCAAGGTGGGAAACAAGAGGTTCAAACTTATGCCTTTAACTATTACTCCATGCCGCGTTAAAGTTAAAGAGATGGAGGAAGATTGTCAAAAGGATAAGGAAGAAGAACATGTAGGTGCTAAAGAGCTCGAAGAAAAGGTGAGTGAAACAATTGATGTTCCAATTGTGTGTGACGTTGTTCAAGATCAGATTATTCATAATGATCTACCAATGGTGGTGTCGGAAAAGGTTTTTGATACTATTGAGGAGCCATTCGTGAATCAAGATAATAATTTAATGGTTTCTTTAGAAGTGGTGGATTCATTAGGCATGCATAAAGAGAAGAAATTGTTAGTCATACATGAGAAAAATATCATGAAGCCTAAAGTGTTCTTATGGTCAACGTCGAAGACCAAGGACCAATTTGAGAATTGGTTGTTTCTAAAATATTGCCTTGCTCGTGGTGATGTTGTTACATTGCTTAAAATTGCTAGCGTTGAGGTAATAGTTCTTTTGGCTTGTATTCGTCGAATTTGGATGGTTTCATGGAATTGTTCTCCTTACATGGATGATGCGAATTTGAGGACAAATTCTTTTGAAGAGGGGGAGAATGATGTGGATCAAGAGGGAGATTCTTTTGAAGAGCCAATCATATTGGTTTTAAGGCCAATAGGGTTCGAGCTTGGAGCAAAGAATCAAGAATGGTTAACATGCGCAGCCATTGAAGAAGAAGTCAAGGACCAGTTGGGTTCCGACGACAACAGCGGTGGCGACGCGCCGATCTGGGTGCCACGCGCCGGCTTCCTAGCTCCGGCCTGAGTCCAGCTACACGGTGGTGGGGCGCGTGTCGAGGATGGAGGCGCGTGAGGTGGTAGTTCGGCGGCAGTACAAAAAGAAAGATTTTCTTTACTTAGTTTTTTTCTAGAGTTTTGCTTGCAAGTTTTTACCTTTCACTTGAAAGGGTTTTTCTTGGTTTAAGCAATTAGGATAAGTTTATTTTTCTGTCATTTAGTTGCTATAAACTTCATAAGGTGATTAGGAAAGTTTTTAGTTAGTTAGAGTTTGATTAGGAATAAACTACCTAGCAATCTTATCTTTGATAGGATTGAAATTCTATCTTATGTAGGATTATTAGAATCCTATCTAGGTTAGATCTTCTACTTCTAGGAGGACTAGGAGACCTCTTTTGAGGCTTTTAAAAGCTTATTTTCGTGGCTTTGAAGAACATATCAAAACCAGAAAATTTAATACAAGTTTATTGTTTGTTTTGCTTAATTGCTTACAAATTCTTTTGCTAGTTTTCAATTCAAGGAGTTGGTTGAAGATTAGAACATTAAACACTTAGTGTCTAGGAGTAGGCTAAGAGTTTAATCTCAAAATAATTAGCGTCCAGGAGTGGGTTAATTAATTTGGGGATTCGAATCATAAGTTTCAGGAGTGATCTTGTGAGGAGAAATATCGGTTCGTTTTTATTCAATCTTAAAGAAATCCTTCAAGATTGGATCGTTACTTCAAGATTGTGGATTTTCTAAAATCTTGACTAAACAAGGGGTTAGAATCCACATCAGAGCAACTTCAAATGGCTCCCCTGCTCTACCCATAGGCGCATATGAACCTATATTCTCAACCTGTTCAACAGGCAATGAAGAAGCAACCTGAATGGGAGTCCAAATGGGGCCTGGTGCTACCCCATTTACTCGTATTCCTCGTTTGATGAGTTGGAGACCGAGGCTTCTTGTAAAACTTACAAGAGCTCCTTTGGTGCTGCTGTAGTCAACAAATGTTTCGCCACCGCCGTATGCTGTGACAGAGGCTGTATTAATGATGCTGCTTCCTTCTTTCATATGCTTTACGGAGTGCCTTCAGGGATTAAGTTTCATTAGCATCATTGATAGGAATTATGATAGGTGTTTTCAGATCACCTCACTACTATCATAGGAATTGATTTATGAACTGAAAATCAATCCCTCGCTACTATATAGGAATTATGAACTGAAAAATCAATTCCTATGATAGTTTTCAATTCATAAATCTTCATTATTCTCTTAAATCTTCATTCGTTTATCTACTAGTTAAAAATAAATTAAGACCATCAATCTAAACACTATATCGTTTCAAAAAAGCGAATTTTAAGAGAGCAGAAGTGTATTTTTAAAAATAAAAATAGGAACGAACTAAGAGAAGTCTGGATGATTTGGTTTATTTGGATCCAAATTCGTTCAATATAATCCGTCTAGAGATTTTGATTTTTCAAAAAATAGTCTATTTAATTTGATCCTCCAATTCAATTAGAAAAAGTTCAATCCAGCCGAATTTAGTAATTTAATTTGATTTAGATTGGTACACCCCATGTGGTACCAAGAACTAGTTGGCAGTGGACCTTAGTGGTCCTATGCTCTTGACAAATTAAAGCACGTTTCTATTCTTAAATTATACGAGTAGATAGATAAGATCAGTTAAGTGGTCATAATACAATTGCTCTTATACTCGATCAGTGAATTGTTGTTTCAAATCACTATCGCTTTACCTAGATTAGGCTTGTAAATAATTAATGGAATAATACTTACTTCGCTAAAAAGAAACTGGCGAAATAGTTGATTTCAAATGACATCCTTAGTTGTTCCTCTGTGATATCTTCGATACTCTCAGTATAGTATGCTACTCCTGCGTTATTCACCAAGACATCGATGCGTTCAAAGTGGCTAACCACCTTATCAACCACCCTCTTGCATTCATCTTCACCTAGGCGAAGATCGGCTGGAATGGCAATAGGTTCACCTGCATCATTTTCTTTGGCCGCCTCTCTTATCAAAGCCAAGGCATCGTCGGCATCTCTATCCTCTGGCCCTTTAACGTAGGTGAATGCCACGGTTGCGCCCTCGAGTGCAAAGTAGTAACAAACTGATCTTCCTATTCCTGAATCACCTCCTGTTACTAATGCCACCTTTCCCTGTTTTTACATATTGGTCCATGATTGTTGATTATAGTTGGACATAAACAATGATAAATTATATGTAATTAAAACACGAAAAATAAATAAAATCATCAATATATCATCATTTTATTTATTTATTTTAATGTTGTAAGGCTGTAGGCCATACTAGCATTGATGCAGACGAAATATGATCTTATCTAACATGTTCCGTATTTCAATATTTAATTAACACCATAATGATAAAATAAAAATTAATACGATGATAAAAGAAATTGATACATTATATAAAACATTTTACGTCTTACATGAAGCTTTTTGGATGGTTTATATTGAGGATTGACAGATTTTGGAAGTGGATTCATCAAATATTGCTTTCCTGGTTGAGAATCCTGCGATTGTGGAGGGAATTTTTCGCCTTTGCTCGTCATTTTTGCTTGTTTTCTTACTTGGTATTCTAATGACTTAGCTCAATTGCTCTTACAACATAATAAGAGATAACAAAAAAATGCCTTGTTAGAAGATAGGACGGCCAAGGACCAAATATTATATACTACGTAGAAAGAAAATCACAATTTTTTTTTCTCTTTTTTTAATTTTTTTTAAATGTGTGTATTCCAAAGAAATTTTTTCTCTCTTGTTAATGTCGTATTTGATAAACAGCAGCAGCAACAAAAAAAAAAAAAAAAAAAGAAGCCGTATTTGATTATTTAAGGAAAAACTGCAATAAATAATACAACCTTTCGCCTGTTTTTTTTAATAATACAACATTTGGATTATATCTGAATATTACAATCTTTAGGGGGTTTCTGTTTTAAACAAGACATAATCGAAAACAAGTTACCATGACACATGTCATTTTTGTTTATTGACTTTGTCAATTTAATTTGATTTTTGAATTTTATTTAACGTTTTTATTTATTAAAAGACTTTAAATTATAAAAATTGCTTTTTTTATTATTATAATAAATAAATAAATAAAACCCAAAACGCTGTCAACCCCTCCCCCACCACTCCATCTCCTCCCCTGCACCGCTGCCCCTTCCCCATCCCAGAATGGGCGATCGACGCCCTGCTCACCCACCGCCGGACTATCCACCCCTTACCCCGTCGCACTACCCATCCAAACGAAAACCCATAACCCTTTTCTCTACCACAAACAATCCCCTCCTCCCTTTCTCCACCAAAAACCCGACCTATCGCGTTAAAACCCCCAAACCGCTCCTCCCCACCCCCAAAAAACTAGCAGCTATGGGTTTCGAGGGTGGTGGAGGGTAGATTTGGGGGTTTCAAGGTGTTTGGGTCAAATTTTTAGTGTTTCAACGGGTGTGAGTCGGATTTGGGGTTTCGTGTATGGTGCTTAAAGGGGAAGGGAGACGACAAAATTGGGAAGGGAAGGCGCGGCGCCCGCTTGAGGGTGGAGATGGTGGCGGTGCCGATGTTGGAGCAGCGGATGGGGGACTGGGTTTGTGCAAGAGAAAGGAGTTTGTGGGCCAGTGGAGGTTTGGGGGGGGGGGGTCGCCGGCTTAGGGTTTGCGCGTGGGGTTTCGCCGAAGAGGGTTTTGGCAGGTAAATGGTGGCTGGGGGTGGGGGAGAGAGAGTGGTGGCTGGGTGGTGTGGGGAGTAGGGTGGGTGGGTTTTTTTAATTAAGTAAAAATGTTTATCATAAGTTAAATGTTTTAACATTTTTTTTTTGAAACTAAATGTTAAATCAGTTTTAAATTCTGATTTTTTTTTATTTTAAAATTATTTTTAATATTTGAACCAATGGCATGACGACACATGTCATGTTAACCTGTTTAGCAGGTTACAAGTCTTTTTGCTTGTTAAAAAAATGGAGGTACAAGGTTGTAATATTAATGTATAATCGAAAAGTTGTATTATTTGAAAAGAACCGGTTAAAGGTTGTATTATTAGATGCAATTTTTCCATTATTTAATGATTTTAAGATTTTTTTAGCCACGACGATACTAATACATTAAAAAATATTTAATACACTAATGAAAGTAACATGGTCAAAATTAATATTATTAGTAGAAAAAAAAAATCAGTTTTATGTATTAATCCCAATTTTTGTCATTATCTTTAAATAGTCTCAACTTCCAATTATTTAGGATTAATCCCAACTTTGATATGTGTTTATTATTATTCTTTTATAACAATCCAAATGACCGATGAAGTGCTAAAAGGTTTTATTTTGGGGTTTTTTTGGTCCCTCGAGAGAGTTACGTCACCAAGACTGGTCCGGCATGGTCTGTACCCGCAATACACAAAGACTCCGGTTGGTAGAAGGTCCGCCTCCAACAATCAACTTAGTATTGGTTGCAAAAGATGAAAAGGTGCGGAAAAGGTAAATGTGAGATCTTTACGGATTCCGAGATCAGGTGTTTCCTCTGATATGAGAAAATGTAGGGTGGTTGTAATAATTGAAGGTGTCCCCAAAATGGGGAAAATCTCCCTATTTATAGGGTCATTGGAAAATGTGCCCTTCATTAGGTCTGGGCTGCGTTCTTGGGAATTGGGCCCTAAAGGCTGCCATTTCATTTGTCATATGAGGCTGACACATGTCAGCCGAGGAGTGGTCCACGTTGGACCCATGACATGTGTCTCTTTCTAATTTGGCCACGTGTCTGGTATTTTTACCCTAAATATTTTCCCTTCACAAGGGTGACATGGCAGCCCACGTGGCACCTGTGATAGATGTCACCTCCTGATTAGCTAACGGTTATTACCGTTTTACTTTTAGGGTAATTACGGGGGTACCCCCGTTTTAACCTTCTATAAATAGCAACTTACCCCCCTTCTTCTCTCTCATCTTTGACTTTCTAAAAAATCTAGAGAGAGAAAAGGAGAGAATTTTATAGAGAGAGACACTCTGTTACTGCCTGTAGCGGATTTCCAGAAATTTTCCGTCTGCAATTCGCGTGGACACAATCGGTCATCACTTAAAACAACTTTTCAGAGTTCTACAAAGGTAACCGTCTTTCCCCTTCTTATCTCTTTCAAGCTTTTGCCGTTTGTATTTAGTTTTTCAAATAAAATGGATTCACCATCAACACACACGGCACATTCTAGGACAATAGTCAGTCGGTCTCTTGGTACGGCTAAGTCTAGGGCTGGGGGTGTCGTCTCTGTGTGCATGGACTTGCTTTGCTCGTCCCCAAATCCCACCGTCTCTGTGTCTGTGTTTGACACAATGGCAAGAGTTAAACAGACGGCTACAAAGCCAAGAAGGAGAAGGTGCACTTTGGAAGTGCCTGCTGATGAAGTTATCCTAGATGAGGAATATGTGGATTTAAATGAGCATACAAGTTCTTCGCTTGGGGGTACCCTATCCACTCCCAGTGATGCGATATTGAGGGAGTCAGACAGTGAAGGATCCGTCTCCGCCTCTATTCATAGTGACCCTGATCAAGGGGAAGATGACGAGGCCTCCCAAAGATCGTGGCGTAAGCTTCTGGTCTGGTCAAGCGGAGGTTGGCTACGAAGTTGAGCGGTCGGCTAAGTCACCATCCATGACCAACCCCACCGAAACACATATAACCACCAGGGATGTAGATGCCCTAAAAACAAGTTTTAAGGGATTTCAGGATAAACATCCCATTGTATCGAATTGGGAAATAAGAGTCCCGCCTGTGGAGGCAATTGTGGTTTGGGAGGATGACATTGAGCATGCCCACTATTATTTTGTCTGCTATGAGTCGAAAATCAAAGTCGGACTCCGCTTCCCCCTTCACAGGGGAATAAGAAGGATATTGAAGGGGTATGATCTAGGCATCTGACAGCTCACCCCTAACTCATGGATAAATATTTTGAGTTACATCGCAGCCTTTGAGTTCCAGAACATTGAGCCAAGCTTCGAGGCCTTTACTCATATGCATTACACTAGTCGGGCTCCAGGCGACTGGGAAGCGTGGTATACTTTAACAACCCATCCAGAATACGTGATGACTCTAGATAAGCCATATAAGTAAACCAATTAGAAAGATAAGTTTTATCTCATCTCTTCCCCTACTTTGGCAATGAACCGGATCTTATGCCGGTACAATAAGGATCCGGCATTGCTTGGAAAGAAGTGCGCTCTCCCTCATATTCCACCCAAGGCTTGGGAACAAATAATGGAGCCGGAGTTCTGTAAAACCACCATTGAACCCTTAGATGATGGAAACCAAATAATAGTACCCAAGAACTGGGTACCCCATCCGGACTTCCTGAAAGATGAGGCATTTCTTTCCGCCTGCGGCTTGAGTACTATGTTTTCAAAACGTACGCAGTCGTGTCTTGTAGACGTCTCAATACTTTTTTTTTATCATCCGGTTTTCTCTCGTAGAGGACGCTTTGAAAATGGTGAATCCGGACAAAACACCGGCTAAGTCAGTTGCTCTTCTCATAAAGGAGCAGCTAGAGAAGAAGAAGAAAGCCTTGAATGCCAAGGATGATGGGGTAAGCCTGCCTGCCATTTGAGGCTAGCTTGTCTTTCTTTTTTATGTTGTGCAAGTTGTAACCCTTTTACCTCATCTGCAGAGTGGGAGCAAGACTAGCCCTCGCTGTCTTTCCAAAATGTTCAAACAGCCCCACCAGGGGTGAGCTGGGAAAATCCCCAGCCAAGGTAGGGAGGAAAACTCCCTCCCAGTCTATCTCAGCTGCTACACTTGATCAACCAAGGCCTATAATCGGAGGGAAAAGCCCGACTATACTAAAGGCTTTAAGCAAAAGCTCAGAGAGGGCAAGCAAAATGTCGGACGTCTCTACAACGAGGAAGGGTGGCATGCCACCCAATACATCAGACGACATTGCAGCGGTTGGAGAGGGAGTAACCTAGCAGCCCAGAGACCAAGGTAAGAAAGATTGCTTTGAACTCCCCTATCCACTTGACTTTATGCGAGTCAAAACAAAACCAAGCTCATCAAGAGAACTGTTCAGCAGCCGGCATTATATTGGTGCTGCCTATGCTGATTTCTTACTATATCCTTTTTATGGTGCAGATGCCTTCTCCAGTTAGCCTGATGTTCAGCAATTCTCCAAGCGGATGCTGGATGCTGAGGACAATTACTAGGTCCAAAAAGGACTGGGTGCTAGGAGTGCAGTCGGTTAAATTTGACCAAATCCTAGCCCTGCTGGCTGAGGTAACTGATCTTAACTTAAGCATATTTTTAAATTATTCTTTAGACTTATCTTCTAACCCCCCTTTTATCGTCTGTATTCTACAAGAGATGCTGAGGGTAGACGGGCTGAAGACTCCGTTGAGGAGAAAATAGGAGGATGTAAATGATGCTAAACAAAGGGCCACAAATGCTCTCAACTCTGATCAATACCAAAATACCATGAGTGAAATTGAGATTAAAGCTGTAGAGTTGAAATAGGAGGAGCTGATCAAAACTTTGATGACTGCTGTGGAGGAGGCTAACACCAAAGCCACCAACTTGGAGTTCGCGCTTAAAAATGCACAATCCGATCTAAAGGCTTTGGAAGAGGCAGACCAAGAGAACACCCAGCTAAGGGACGAGAACATCCATCTCAAGCTTGATATCGTTCAAATGAGGAGCGCACACCAAGAAGAAATCTCTAAAGAGTAGAACTGGCTGGTGGCGGAGAACGAGAGGGATAATGAGGCACGTATGAAGCTGGCTTGGGACCTAGTCCACTCTAAAGCCAACTAGG